AGCAATTACGCTCATTTAAATCAAAGTGTATCGTGCGCATCAGACGTGCCCGCACGCCCAATAAATTGTGTCACCAGCAGCGACATCAACACCAAAGTATCTCGAAGTGCAACAAACGTGCGCACGCAAGTGACCAATCGAAACCAAAAAATCGTAAACCCCAATCAAAGCCACAACCAAAGTCTAGATATTGTAAATACAGTCGCCGCTGCTGCCATCAACGACACAAGCGCCGTTACAGCCGTCAAAATGCGTGAAGTGAACGGTCAGTTGCGCGGTCTGCTCAAAAAACCGAATCGTCCGCCGCCGGCGCGTAAAAATCGTGTCGTCTTCGATGAGACACGCAACGAATTCTTCGAGGCGGATTATATTATTTTGATACGTGAGGATTGCGCCTACGATGAGGAGGACGAGGAGCCGTGCACGTGCGGCGAACACGAATTGGTGCGTTTGTGCTGTGAGGAGGGCTGCCAATGTAATTACTCCGCTACGGTGGCTGCGGGCGTTGGAGGCGGGGGAGGTGGTGTTGGTGGGCCCGGCGATGAAACACGCACACCGCAGGTAAGTCGGGACGGCAATGAATTTACTTGTATCATTTATGTGTTATGTTGTGTACTTACTTACTATGTTTGTATATACATACATAGAAGGGTTTATTGAGCAATCATTTTTGGTTGGATCTAATCGAGACAAATCCCGAAGAAACCGTATAACAAATATTTTCACTTAGATCCAAAATCTATAAGGCGACGGTACAAGGGGCTATTGGCATTCCGATGAGTGACATTATCGTAAATTTGACATTTTACGAAAAATCGCTTAAAATTATTTATATCAGAGATCAGAAATAACAGTTTTTTCTCGGGAAGTGAATTAATATTAACCTTAAGGGCCGTTTGTTCAATGTCCGGTTAACACATATTCCAATTTTTTTCGAGCCCCCTAACTTCCAATTTTTCTCTATATGTATAATAAATAGTACCCCAGAAATGCTAACTTAATAGTTTCGTTCCCCGCCCCTCTCCTCCTCCCCTAAATTTCATTCTGGCTGCGCTCATGCCGGTAGATTACTTTTAATAATCAAATTTAGTTTGCAGTGTAACTTTGTTCTGTTGCATAGTTGAAATGAGTTAGGGCCTTTCTGCATACATACATATATTAAGGTATCTATGAATAGGGATGCAGGGATTCATCATTTGATTAAATAGATCGATTATTTTTGTTCAATTTACGATTTAATTGTATTGTAATTTTGTGTTTCATTAATCGATTATTAATCGATTACTTGTAAAATAATTGTAAAAATATATTCAAGAAATATGAATTCTCTAGTTGTCTAAAACCCTTCCATCGAACATACTATTTTTGCTAGTTGCATTAACTTCACTCGACCCGAGATTCAAAAAAGTGCTTTTAAATGATCCGTTAGCATTGGCGAAATAAAATAACGTGCGCAGATGATCTTGTATCACTAGAATCAGTAGAAAATAAGTTCGATCTTTGGGCCCCTCACAAATCTCTTGTATTCAAACGAAGGCCAAAAGATGATGATTTGGGTCACCCACAAGGTTTTTATTTAAATTGTCAAGCCCTATAACTAAAGCGGAATATCATCGACGCTTGGATGGAAATGAAAACTGTTTACTCAAAACTTTACGGACTTTCGAAAAAATACTAAGGGTATTCATCTAAACGCTTAAATACCTCGTAACCACGTAAATCTACTTAATTTTGTATGAAAATCCGGTTTATTTCGAGGTTTACACAATTACGAGGCATTTACGCGTTTAGATGAATACCCTTACTGTCATCTAGTTGGTGCATCGGTGCCTGCTGAGCGCCTTTTTTCAAAAGCTGGTGCTACAGCCACCGAGAAATTGATTATTCAAAGCTTTTGTTTTTGCAAATTTGGTTAAATAATAAGTACAATAGCCGCTAAAAATACTCGTTTTAATGTATTTAATGCTAATTAACAAGATAATTCGAATTTTTTATGGAAAAGTGATTTTGTGCATACCCAATGTAAAAAAGTGCCTTTTAAAATTCGATTAATCGATTATTTTTCAATGTTTGCAATTAATTGCAATTATGATTAGTTAATCGATTATTTTATTTTTTTTTTGCCATCCCTATCTATGAACATACTAGCTGTATATTCTAGAATCTGTCAATTTTGAGTTAAAAGAGGTTCGTAGCCCGATAGATGGCATTAATTCTACAATGTCTTTTACATTCCATACAAATAAAAATAGTACCTACATATAAATTTTTTTAATGACGTAACGATACCAATTGGAAACAAAACTCTATACCAGTGACGATTGGAGAGAGCTTTTTCTTTGTAAAATGTGTAGAAAACTTTGAAAAGCTTCTCTGGCTTTTGGTCGTAGCTGCACTTGTAGTAAAACCTTTCCATAAGATATTTACTTTGCCTTTCATCCATGGTACTTAGGTTGGCATTGAAAACGAGCAAAATCAGATGAACACCACACCCACCTCCCATATAATGGTATTTTCGAAAAATGCAAATACTACGATATTTCTACGAATACTGGATCCAAATTGTTGAAAGGTGGAATGTGAATTAGAATTTTGGCATAAAATAAGACAGTTGTGAAATTTATGGGCATGGCTCTGCCCACTTATGCCTACATATGTATTTCTCGGTTTATTAATTTGTGCCAAGCTCGGTGCAGTTAGGAACCGCTTTATCGATTTCCACCAATCTTGGTCCAATTACTTCAATATATCATACCGTATTATCGAATCTGTTTCAAATCGGGAAAAACATTTTAGCTTTTATATCACGCAGTTTACTCACGATATTTAATACGTATCCCAGGTAGTTAAAGCTCGGTTCAAAAATTTCTGGTGCTTAGGTTATGAAAATATAAGTCACCAAACCTGTACTCCAGTTTAGAGCCGCAGGCGTAGAACTTCTTAAATCGTTTAATCGTTACTTAGGGGAAAGTACTCTTCTACATATACATATATACATATGTATGTATGTATATTATAGGATAACGATTTGTTTTAATAGATGTTGTAAAAAAATTCCACACATTCGAAGCAAACATAAACTCAGTTTAACTGCAATTACACACAATACCCTACAGACGATTATTTGATCAGACCCCCAACGATTTGAGGTATTAAGATTAGATTTCGTTTTTTGCCTTTTAGGATTCCAAGCTTACACACAAATGAGCAATTAATTTATTTGTACGTTTCCAGAAAAAGTCATTCACGTTTATTTGCACTTAATTGGCTTAGGGGCCCACATACATGTGTACATAATTGGTGGAATCTGTTTGTGTTGCTGAAGAGTAACTACTATTTATGTATAGGTATTTAATGATACACTTTGTTGCTATTTATATTTGTATGTATGTATATGAACAACATCACGTAAATACTTACATACTTATACAAAGTGTACTACCTGGGCCCTATTGCACCAACGAATTATCATTAGCATTTTAGCAGATTATCGAACTTGCGCAAAGTTTTGTGTTTTACCAACATGATAAGGAAAAGCACTCAAATGAGTGTTGATAAGTAAAATATCACTCAAAATCATAGATAAGCGTTGCACCAAAATTTGAAATGCTTAGCGAAAAGGCTTTAGCGGATAAGTGATAAGTTATGCAAATTATCAAAATTTATTAGCATTTCGTTGCACCAAAAATTTGTATATATCACTTATCATCTTTCATTTTGCTAACTTTAGCATTATTTTGCTAAAAGTAATTTTACCTATCATACAAGTGATAAGTTACATCTATTCAGTCTGAATGAATTTATTTATTTATTTATTGTAAAAGGATAATACAACTATACCTTAACAATCTAAAACTTAAGCTCTAACACGTGATTCGATAAAATATTGACACAAAAAATGCTCCGATTCGAACTATTAAATTTATTAGAGGAGGAAAATCTGCAAATAATAAAAGGCGTGTCATAAAAGAAAAAATCAGCTACAGTATAGATTTTGATGTAGTAGAAAATTTCGGCTATCTCGTAGCCAAATTGAAGAAATTTTATTAAAAATTGGAGCGGACCTACAATATAACATGGGTGTAATAATGGCTTAAGTCCGCTACAGCAATTATTATTGACTCTGCACTAATTAGGTCATCATGGAATTGGTCAAATGCATGGGGTTCACAAATTAGCGGTATGTACAATAATCCATCGAGTGGCAAATGCCCTGATAAACAAATTGATGGATGAAACTATTTGTTGGCGGGAATTTACGAAAAATATTGCCACAAAATTTTTCAACATTGGTGAATTTCCTTAAGACGCAGGGAACATTGATGGAACTATGATTTGTTAACCGGTACGGAAATCATTTAATTAATGCAATGTGGTTTTTGCGTTTTTATTACTGAGTTATTTTGGAAAGATCCAAATAAATAATCCTTAATTTAGAAAAATTTAGTTATTTATGTAAACATACATAGTCAATACGGACTTACTTTTTTCCTTAATAATTTTTAAGACAGCTAATATATTGGCTGTGCTTTGTGCGCGCGACATAGTAAGAAAAAAAGATAAATTGAAAATGTTTATCAAATCGCACATGGGTTTGCTAAGCTTTCGTTTTCCATTGAGAAACGGTAATCATTTTAGCTAAGCACATTATTGGAAAAGTTCTCTATTTGAAAAGCAAAATAAATTGGCTGTGCAATCGTTATCAAATCGACTTATCCAAAAAACATGTCAGTTATTCATTTTTTTTTTTAATTGATAAGTTTTTTATGATAAGTATAAGGTGCAACACTTATCAACTTTACTTTTCAATAAAAAGGCTTATCCAAAAGTTGTAAAGTGATAAATGATAAGTCATTGGTGCAATTGGGCCCTGGATATATTAATGTGCACAGATAAAAGCATTTCGCTTCAGTCCATGACATATCTGTTATTCAATGCCTGCGCAATCAATTAAACGTCGTCGGCTTAATACCGTCCCTATTTGTCAGCATAAAGTACCTACATCCTGGCAACATATAAAAAGTTTTCGCGTATTGGGACACGCGTCGGTTTTGACAGTTATAGTAACTTTGAATTAGTGAAGGACTGCAACAATAATGTCCACATGGAGATCAAACGAAGAATAACTTTTGCCAATAGGTGCAACATTGGACTCGCCAAGCAATTGAAAAGCAGAACCCTCGCTCGATGTCTCTCATCAAACCCTTTCTTTTATATCTTTAATGTAATCATCGAGTATGTAATCCGTTAGTTTTAAGCAGAAGAAAACAGAAACTAGAGTCATTTGGTTTGTAGCGTGATAACTTGTCTGGATAACTTGGGATGGACACCACTTTTTCCTCCACTCATGCCCGTAGTATGTTATTTCGGCGGTTTGCCTCTCTCAGGACAATTCGGCGACTGTCTCCCACCTCAACACAGCTTTTCCAAAGACATTAGTCTAATGTAAAAAAATTGTTAATTATGGCAACTAGTTATCTTTAAAAGCTTTCGTTGGTTTTTCGAAAGGTCTGCCAATGAGAAGGTCTTAGCTATGCTCTTGGTCTTTTAGGATTTTTTTT